TAGCGTTGACAAACTTTGGAGAGATAAAGAGAATACGTATAATAGTAATAATAGTATTAATAATAAAAATAATAGTAATAATAACAATAACAATAATAATAATAATAATAAGAGAATAAGAATAATAGAAATATTAATAAGAATAATATTATAGTAACGAGATAATGGTTTATGATATAATGCGATAATGTGATAAATGACTATTGACTATAGAGAAAAAAAAAATATAATAATATAATTAAATCGATAGAGAAAAAACGCAGCGAAATACATTTGAGGGGAGTGATAAAAAGCAAGTTTGTAAATGGGTGTTTAGTAAAGAGACTAAGTAAGTAGTCATCATCATCATTTCAGGCAACTGATAATATTTCATATATATGTATGTATAGTCAGAGACACGACATAGTCTGTCTAAATAATACATTAGATTACTATAACGCGACCCATGTTCCTTGGCGTCTCATTAGCATATAAAAAATATATTAATATACACGCTTCTCTTCTCTCCACACAACGTATTGCTTTATAATTTACTATTTTTTTGTTTCTTTTATGTTTTTTTTCGATTACTTTTTAGTATTATTATTTTATTTTTTTCTCTTCCTTCTTTCTTTTTTTGTTATTCTCAAGTTGTACTCTATTATTCTTTTTAAATACGGCGCATTTAACATTTTTTCAAGTACAAGATGACAAGTTTTTAATGGAACATTTAAAAAACATTTTGCCAACGTGAAATATTTCACATCCTAGTAAAACACCAATGGAGGTTTCAGGAAAACATGGTTTACGCATAGTGAATCCTTATTCACAAGAGAAAATATGTATGCATGTAAGTAATTATATGTATGCATGTATGTATGTATGTATTATTAGTATTACATTTCTCTCAACAAATTTTCTCTGTTTAATTGGAATTCCTTTCCTTCTTTCTTTTTTTTAATAGTTTATTATTTTGTTTTTTCGTTAAATACACGGACCATACATTTGTGTCTGTCTGTCATTCTTTCTTGTCGATGTGTATATCGAATTATTAAAAATAAATGTTTTACTGCAGCTTGCTGTTCGTTGTGCACAGCATTATTCAATATCATTGTTTACATAACTGTAATATATTGTATACTCGCTGCTGCTGTTGCAGCTACCCGCTGTGAGTATACGTAACATTTAGATGTTGTTAAAAAAAAGTTCACAAAAAATTTCTACGGCTTTTCTTTCTTTCTTTTAAATCTTTTAGTTTCTCCTCCTTCTTCTCTCATCATTATCCCATTGTTCTCAGCTAAATATCTTAACATGTTAAAGACGGCAAATTTTTATATACAAGAAAAAAGTAAAAATAAAGAAAAACATTTATTACAAAGGAAGAGGGAGAAGAAAAAGAGAGATTAAAAAAATAAAAAAGCAAGAAAACCTGACTATGTATGTATATAATGTGTGTATATATATATAATGTAGTTTATGCAACGTAACTTTACGAGTTTGCTCGAATAGCGAGCAACTCGGAAAAAACAGTTCTTTTTCTTATATATCTTTTTTTTTTTTTTTTATCATTTTCTTCTTTATTTTTTTTTTTATTTTTTTTTTTTTTATATGTATGTATATATATTTTTCTTTAATATAGTTATTCTTTTTTTTCTTTTTTTGGTTGAACAAACATTAAACCATGTTTTATTTTTTAGATCCTTCATAAAACGTTACCAGTATTTTTTATTATTATTTTTTCTTTTTTAGTTTTTTAATTAGCGGCAACGTCAAAGGCCTTTTTTATATTCGTCAATCATAATCGGTCGTCGTCGTCGTCGTCATTGTTGTCGTCGTCATAATCGTCATAATCGTCGTAATAGTCGTCATTATTTTTTTTCTTTTTAAAAATCGCAATCTAAAAATTAATTAGGGGGAATAAAGAGATCATGGAACTTCAAAAGGTATACTAAAAAATACAATGCTTCACAGTTTAGCATACCAATGGAATGCAACTGTTGCGTGCGTGCGTGTATGTCTCGTGTGTAAATGTATACATGTATGTATTTACTTTACTTTACTTTACTTTACTTTACTTTACTTTACTTTATTTTATATTGCATGCATGCATGTATGTGTTATTATTGTTAAATATGCAACGCGTTTATCTTTGCATCTACGCATTTGTTAGTTGATTTGATATGTAAATAAAGTACCTCCGAAAAAGGAACGTGTCATCAAAAATAAATATATTAGATAGATTAGATAGTATAATTAGATAAATGTAATGTATGTACGCGTGAATGTGTGTGTGTGTATCTTTATCTTTTTGTGTCGGCAAGTATATTTAATTATTTATTTAATTAATTATTTATCTTCCTCACCCCTCTATCTCCCCTACCCTTGCCCAAGAAAACCCGTGTTAAGTATTATTATTATTATTATTATTATTATTAATAATATTAATATTAATAATATTATTATTATTACATCAAATGACTAATGTATATAAATAAAGCCAGTGCTCTTGAGGAATGGAACAACATAACATTTTTCATGCCATTGTAATAATAAGACTCTCATTATACTTATCATCTAATGACAAAATACATTAAATATTTGTACTTCAACTGACTAAGCAAGAATTATATTGTAATTCTGAGTGTTTATCCTTCCTTCCTTCCTTTTTGTTTTTCATTCCTTTTTTTTATATCTTTTACTTATATATCCTTCTCTTCCACCCCCCTTTCTTTTTTAATTCTAAGGTAGAATACAACCCTTCCTCATTTATATTACCATACGCAGTGATAATGCGTATAAGATAATAGTGGTAAGAAAGATAATTCTATAATTAATAAAATAAGGCGTAAGAGTAATATATATGTATGTGTGTATATAAGTGTATATGAACACACACACCCACACACACACACACATATAT